GAGGCGGTTCGAGATAACCGGACCGTCGATTGTGGAGAACATTCTGAAGGAGTATCCGAATGCGGACTTGTTCTTGCACACTCCGCTGGACCGGAACACCTTCAAGTTGTCGTACTTGAAATCGGCGCCCAAACTCGCCGCCGTCAGAATCTTCGAGCCTAAACCGATTCCGGAGACCGAGTCGCAACTCCGAGTCCTCACGGCGAGCAACTCGCCAAACGGCATTCAGGTTCGTGCATCTACTGAACTCTTTTTGGTCAAATTTTAAGTTGAAACGTTTTATGCAATTAGGTACCTGTTTGGAAGAAGATGAACAATAAGGGCAGCTGTATCTGTGTAACCAACTCTGTTCTTTCACGATAACAACACATCTTATTTTGCTTATTTTATAATCAACCGTTTACAACTCCCCCAAAAAGGAAGAAAAAACCTCAACTATTGCTTGCCTTTTAATTGATTCCTTTTTCTTTCTTCTGCACCAAAAATTCGTGTGTGAGATCACACCAAGCCGAAAAAGAATAACAAAATCCCACCCTTGATTTGGTTTCATATTTATTCAATACCAATTAGTCCTAGATTTGAACTTTTAATATTGATCCAAAAGATTATCGTATCTCACAGCTCCATAATTTTTTCAAAAAATTACCTTTATAAAATGAAATAAGGTTAAATATAAACACAGCCTATACTGTAACAACTCAACATAAATTGGAGCTTTGGGTTTTTAAGATGTTTACTAAATTTATGATTTAGTTTTGTTAATTGAAATTTAGGGCCAATTTTGAATACTATAATATTGGTGAGATACTTTTAAAATGTTGATCGGTATTGAATTTCAATACAAATTCTACCAATATAGAATAGAATTAATTTAATATAAAATTATTGTTATATTTTAAAAAATATATTGAATATAGCATACGTCAAAATTTACCATTAAAAAAAATTAAGAGACTTAGAATGATACAACGGAAATTGAAAATAACTAAAGCTGAAATATGTATGATATGTTTGTGGGGTGGGGACCATTCTGAAAAGCGAGGTTTTCGAAGTGTGATATTAAGTACGTTATTATTCCTAATGGAAAAGAAGTAAAAGTGCGATAATACCCCTACAAAATATTAGGTCGATGCGTCTGTTAACTGGAGTTGCTGCGTCTTTTTTCAGGGGCTTTTACAGTATTTCAATCTGGTCGAAGGATGCCTAACCATGATCCGCGCGTACCAGTCACGCAACAACTTCACTTACGACTGGATTGTCCGGACTCGGGTCGATGGGTTCTGGAACGGCCCGCTCCGACCCGAAAACTTCGTACCGGGCCAGTACGTGGTACCGCCGGGATCCTCATACGGCGGACTAAACGACCGATTCGGCGTGGGAGACCTGAACACCTCGACCGTCGCTCTCTCACGGCTGGCTCTAATTCCTAATCTGGACGCCGCCGGGCTCCGGCAACTGAACTCGGAAAGCGCGTTCAAGGAGCAGCTGAGCAGCGCAGGGGTGGCGTTTCGGGCGATACGGCAGCCGTTCTGCATAGTGACGGAGCGGCAGTACGATTATCCGCCGAGGGGATTCGGAGTGCCGGTGGCGGCGATGTGGAGTGCGGGGCTGATGAGCGGGGCGAAGTGCAGGCCGTGCAGGGCGGCGTGTGAGGGGGAGTGCGTGGGGGAGGTGATGGGGCGTCTGGAGAGGGGATGGAGCTGGACGGATTGGGAAAACGGGACGCTGTCTCTGTGCGACGCCCATGGAGATTGGGAACAAGGGTGGGAGAAAATATACGAGGAATTTGTTGGGGTTGAAATGGCGGGTGCCAGTTGGAGGATCCAGAACATGAACTCCAGTCAGTGCAGTGATGATTTCAATGAAATGAAAAGGAGAAGTGGAATTTGGGAAGCTCCGCCAGTGGAGGATATCTGCAGCCTCCTTCAAATTGGTAATTAGTTAAAATGATACTTGTGCTGTGTTTTTGTTTTTGGTTGCCTTTTACTCCTAGTTTTACCTTGGTGTGTCACTGTGTCTATATAATTTGTTTAGCTTAGTCAGTGCCACATATATATTCGTTACAAATGCAAATCAGTTCAACCCATTTCGCTTAATTAAAATTATAAGATAAGCTTTTTTAAATAAAAACGTAGTAGAGTTAAATGTAGAGGGAACCACTTTTTAGTTGAAATCTTAGAAAGAGACCTTAATAAAGAACTTCTCTCAAATTTTGTAATACATGGATGGCTCTCTTCTAGATGGAACATAATGGTCATTAAATAATAAAAAATTCGATAGAGAGATCTAAAATTTATATTCTCAAATTTTGAACTTTTATTGATGGAGATGGTGACCTAAATATATTGTTGGTAAAGGCGGCATAATTCATATATAGCGATGTTTACTTCTGTTATTATTCAATATTATTGTTTAGCTTTTGGAAGGAGACACATCACTTCTTCAACTGACCTTAATTCTCACTCTTGATTATACTTTGATTTATGCACAATATGACAAGACCCCTCTGTTTGTTTCCCCCTTTTTACTGAATTTTTAGATCTGATATTTGTTCTCTCTTTTAAAGTAATTATTAATTTATCTAATTAGTATATTAAATTTTATATTAGTAAATCTATGATCGGAAACTTTCCGGGCCCAGTTTCCATGTTCCTTAGCTTATTTAACAGTTTTAAATTAAAATTCACAAAATAACCTTTGAATTTTAAAAAACATCTAATAAATCTACAAATTAAATTTTAACGAAAAAAAATTCTTAGCTTATTTAACATTTTTAAAACTCACAAAATATCTAATAAATCTACCAATTAAAATTTTTTAAAATTTAAAAATTGAGGCGTATTTTTAAATTATAAAGTGCAAAATTTAATGAGATGTTAAAGACACTTTTCGAGGAGTAAACTTATAATTTAACACATTAATTTATTATGTAAATCAAACCTCTAATTTTTCTTTCCTCTCCAACCAACAAACAAAAGTGATTTGAAATCATTTCGTCGCTTGTAAGTCAACTTTAATAAACGAAGAGTTTTTGGGTATCGCCTAAAAAGTCTTCGAGGTCGTGAAATTTTAAAAATAAAAAATAAAAAATTATTTTTTGTCGTAATTAATCTTAATATTTATTTAACGTTTCGATTTGATCTTTTATGTAATTTTTAAATAAACATTAATTCAATAACATAATGTACTAAAAAAAATCAATAACAAAATGATTGGTAACAGTACAATGTATTTTCATAATTTCTTAATTATATAACATTAAACAAACACTGTCTTCACACAATATATTCGAAAAATATAAGATTATATATATACAACATAAATTAAAATTTTNAAGAAAAATTATTAAAACGAGTTTTTAACTGGCTACCATTGTTATAAATATTTACTAAATTCAAATCAGTTATAATCACATTTAACTTTGCCCCTGCCAGATTTATTTTGGTATATCTTGCAAATTTAAGCACTTTTTTTTAATAATTTTTTAATGACTGTGATTTACTTTAAAACAAAAGCCAATCTTAAAAAAATAATAATAAATAACATTGCGAGTGTTTCTAAAAAATGAATTTTTATCTAAAAACCTAAATTAATTAGTAAATCTTTCCAAATGAGCGAGTAAAATAAAACCACAAGCTTCCACACGTATACTAGCCTAGTATCCATGTAAGCCCTAATTTTGTTCGGATTAAAATTATCTGCCAAATTCCTCGCGAATATCAGTTGTAATCATTCAGAGATTCGCAAGAAACGCGCAATCGAGTAACGAGAAGAACCAGATTACAATATACGAAATACCTCTCCCGATTATTAAACGAACACAAAAGGCAATAATTAGCAGCCAACGATTGAAACGTACGTGCCGCCTTACCAAACTACTGAAAATACGACTGGCCGGTGATGTCGATATCTCTGTCGCCGGACGACGGCGGAGGCGCATGCTTCGGCTTCATTCCGGCTTCAACCGGTCCATCGGCGCTCTGCGTGTCGCTCGCCGGTTTCTTCTTCAGGAGTTGCTGTTGGCCTTCCTCGGCGCCGTACATTCCTCCGCCGTAAGCACTTTCCGTCAACGGTTGCATCGGAGAAATATTTTGCGGCGGTTGTTGCTCCATCTTCTTCGTTTCTTCTCGCCTCTGCTCCTCCCGCTCCATCTCGATCTTCTGATTCCTTTCCATTTTTTACTTCTGTTTTCTGATTCGCAAACCCCTCGTTGGTTTCTACCTTTTAAATTGATTTTTATTTTACGCCACGTGTCTGTACTACTATCCTGGCAATTCTACAAGACGCCACCGCATCGCCTCCCACGTGGCATGTGCCATGTCACGTGGGTTGATTCCATTTCGCTTCTATCCAATTCGTGTTTTGGGCTGGGTCGACTCCATCAAAGTCCAGGCCCATGTATCAACTTGCAATTGAGGCCCACTTTCTAACACTCCATTGAGCCCAATGATGGACCTCTGGAGAGCATTAAAAAGTTGCAGGAAAACTAAAATTTACAGTTCAATTTAAAAAATGTTTTTTTCCCTAATATTTCTAAAGAAAGCATAACTTTTGTCGTTTATTGGATGCCGATTAAATGGATGGCTATGGAAGCGAATTCGTAATTTTAAATGAAAAATACATTTTTTGGTGCCTGAAATTTGTGTAGCGTCTATAGGGTCAAATGTTAAAATGAACACTGCTAATAACTTCTTCTTCTTATTATTATTAATTTAAATATTTCTCTCAAAAAATGAATTAAATACTATATATATATCATTAGCTTTTATCTTTATAACATTTTAGTTTTCTGCCCCAAATTATTAAGTATAATTAACGATGTTTAAATTATCATTCTAGGTGGTACTTGATTTCATTTGTTGTTATAATTTTAAATATTTTGATTTGATTTCTATGATTTTGAAACAATTATGATTAAATTTCTTAACATGGAGACTCAATTTAGATATGAAAACATGTCGCCTAGCAAAATATATGCTAAGTTAAAAAAAACTATCATTTGTCAATAGAACTTAAATTGAAAATTTTACAATTATTAAACAAAAGTACAACCCGTCATGGGATGGACAATAATGTTGATGTTCATGAATATTTAAATAAAAATGTAAGATGGCAAGGAACTATCTAACATGTACTAAGACACATTTTGATAATTTAAATTAATATAATCTCTAATGCATTGAAGGCAAATTAATCAATAATTGATATTATTTCTTTTATGAAACTTTTTGAATGATACCCAAATTCATGGAGACAGCTAGAGAGAGAATCATTGGTAGGATAGAGAGAGAGAGAGAGAGGTAGTTTAAAGGTTTTTGGTGAATGCAAGGGACATAGAAGGGGGAATGGATCTAAGCCGCCCCTCTAAATTTTCAAAAGCATTAAGAAAAAAGTAACATTTTATATTTGCAAAATTTAAACTTTACCTACCATATAAATTTTTTAATACAAATTTATAACTACTGTTTTAAGAAATCAATAAATAAAGTGTCATGTTAATTAAAATTGTGATCGAAAAAATTGAAATAAAATTAAAAATAAAATGATTAAAAATTGTACATGGGTTAAAACAAAGGTTTTGAGGATACATTACTAAGGTAAACAAAACTTAAAAATATATATATATCAAAATAGACGATTTCAAATATAAATATTAAAATAAATTAAATTGAACTGAACTAAAATAATATTTAAATCTAAATAAAAATCACATCAATACAAAATTCCTCTTTTAACTAACTACTTGTCTATATTTAAATCTATATATATATTTTTTTTTTTCTTTTTCCTTTTTGCAAAACTATTTTTATATGTTCAATACGTCACGTTTTGCAGGCCATTCTTAGTTATTAGATTCCTTCTGTTGCGTGGTGCCCAGTCTGCTAACTGTTCACATGATTTTTCTTTCTTTTCTTTTTGGTTCCTAATGTGTTTCTAAATTGGACTGCTTTTGCAATTTTTCTAAATTGGATTTCTTTTTTAACCCTTCTTCCCTCTTTTTTCTAGCCAATTGTTTCAAATTATTATAATACTTTGAAAAGCTAAATTACAATTCAAAACAATTATGATATCATTCAAAATGTTATTTATATTTTAACCAATTAAACTAGGTGTCAAAGTGAGCATAGTTCGGTATTTGACATATATCTCCAACCAAAAAGTTGTGAGTTCGATTCCCCACCCCAAACTGATAAAATAGTTTAAAAATTATATCTCTATTTTTTATATTTAAATATTGTAATCCACCTCAAGGATAAATTGTCATAGTGGTTAGATAAAGTGATTAATAAAAGTAAAATAATACATTCAATCAATCAAAATAAATAATTATATATCAATTTTTATTCACAACTTTTAATCTCATCGAATAATATATTAAAGTAAAGTAAGTGTTGCAATTTTTACTTCAAATTTAAATAAATATTAAAAATTTTATATTATTATGTGCTTTCCTTTGGAGAATAAAAATATATATATATATCTGGTGCAAAATTCATAGAACTTAGGGAAAAAAAATAGGTCACTAAAGCTGCAATTTTTTTTAAATGTGTGAGTCTGAGGGATTTAGTTAATGTTCAATCTAATATATCAATCAATGTTTTTTTTTGGGACAAGATATTACAAGATTGAGTTTGGTTTCATACGATATTTATTTATTATTATTATTATTTTTTTGAAAACTAACGGACGAATTAGTAAAAATTAAATAAAATGTGAAAGATTGACGCATTGGTCAAAACTAATGGTTCTCTGATTGATAAATTAATGTTGAATTTAAGGAATTTTGGCTTAAAATAAAGTTGAATCAGACGGAATTTAGAGAATGATAGCATAATTTTGACTGAAAAAAGAGGAGGCATAATAAAGTTGAAACAAATGGAATTTATAGAATTAGAGCATAATTTTGAGTAGAAAAAGCATAAAGTGGTGTGTTTAAATATTCTAGAATGAGTTTTTCTTTTGACTTGAGGAATGAGATTCAGACACAACATTTCTAATTTGTTTTAATTCTGACCTTTCCTGTCCAATCACTTCACGCCTTTTCCCTTCCATGGCATTCCCGTAATTTTTTAAATTAAACCCTTAATTTTGATTTCTTAACAAAATATTTATTTCATTTCATTTTATTTTATTTGACCTGAACCTCAGCTCACGTCTCGCGAAGATCCGAAACTTTGGGGATTTTCCAATTAATTTCTCTGATTATCTTTAATTAATTTCCGACGATTTCAACGGTACAGATCTTCTTCGATATTGCGATCATCCACGTGGACTTATGATTATTCATGGAATTGGACGCGTCTCACAGCTACATACATGCAGAACCAAGTTTTTGCTTTCATTATTAATCATAAAACTTATTATTACAGCGTATCATTGATTGCTATTACAATTTACCATTTAGAATTAACTGATTAAATCATATACCAGAAATTTAATCTTGCATATTTTTAAACATTGAAAAGTTTTTTGGAATAACGAATTTAATTTATTAAAAAGGTGCGCTAAAAAGTAATCAGGTTCAATGTTTTGTTCTAAAAAAAAAAAAAAATCAATGTTTTAAAAGGAATGAGATATCACATCCCATCTCGATTTAATTATTCATTTTTTCTATTTTTTTATTTATATAATCATCTGATTAAAATGGTTGGTTATAATATAATTTCTCTTTGTTAAAAATATAAATATACTCACGGTGGTCAATTAGTTGTAGCATGGATAATTTTTTTAAATATATAAATAATAAATAAGGATGTGTTTAATTGGTAATCTAAAAACAATTGATTCATTGTATTTTTTGACAGATTTGAAAATTGAACCTTTAACTTAAAAATTTGTTAAATGGATGTTAGTAATGTATTTATAAACTATTGGTACTCACCAGCTACAGTCTAAAATAATATTAATTAATTTATCAACATTTTAATTATAATTTTGTATAAATATTATTTTATAATATTATATAAATTATAATATATTATATTTTATCTATATTAATTCCAAAAAAAAGAGTCAAAGTCAGTTAAATGGTAATTGACATATATCTTCAACTAAGAGGTTATGAATTCTAACTCTATAAATCGCAAAATAAGAAACAGAATTCAAATGGTCAAAACCCTAAATTACCAAGCTAGTTAAATAATATCTTTAATGCTCCAAAATGCATATTTTTTCCTATTTTTCATCGGACACAGCATTTTAACACAATTGACTATCCAAGTAGGAATAAATCACGAAAATGTAGTATTTTTTTTTACCATATTTAATAGGGTGACACGACTTGTTATCATATGATTATTGGATGAAATTGAATCAAATCATAAAAACAAAATTAAAACCGAGTATAAACTAATAACTTTGTAATATATTTACAATTGGAAATACTAAAAGTAATTTGGAACAATAATTTGAAATAAGGTGTGGGATTGTAGTTGGGAATTATTTGATAAAGCACAGTTTATTTCATAAATCACAACGTTTGGTTGTCTTGTAGTGAACAACTTGGTATGGCCAAAGAAAGGTGCACATAACCGTTACCATTTTTTTGTTACTGAAAGAAATGTCAAGTTGATCCACTGTGTTCATTCATTGGTTCACCTGTTCATTTTGATTTAATTATATGATTGCGATTTATTATGGGTTTCATTCGAATAGTTCTTCAATTAAGTACGGAAAACTTGAAAAAATAAATTAAATTTTTTTAATTAATATCAATGTATTGTTTGTCGTATATAGTAGGATAAGAAGAAAAATAACAAAAACTATGAACCAAAAAAGATTAAATAAGTTTTGAAGATGTTTCATCGTAGAATCATTATATAGACCAAAATTATTTTAAAGAAGTTTGTAATGAACGATGACTTTGTAAATGTACATGGAGCAAAAGAAGTCAAATAAGTAGAGTTGGTCGAACTAAATAGAGCTTGTTTTAGTATGATCTGTGAAGGTAGAGATTCGAACTCACAACTTTTTAGTCGGATATAGGTGTCTTAACTTGTTGAGTGGTAGAAAATGATTTGACTGTCTCATCTAACTTAATACCTACCATAACTGTTGTGAGGACAAATGATACTGTGTTGTGTTGTTGTGTTGAAGGACAATGTATCTCTCGAAGTTGGACATGACCCGAGCAAAATCTATGCTTTAAAATAGTCTCCTTTATATATATCCAAAATAGTGGTAACTTAATTAGCTCCAACAAATCATGTGATGTATATCAAAGAGATCAATCCTATCAAATATATAGTAGAAATAGCACTCTTACAAAAAGGAAAATTTTAAAAGAAGATTAATTATTTGTTTTTTTGAGTACGAAGATGAATTGAAGTGGTTTACATCTTACGATGCCCTCAATTTTTAATATTATTATATTTTAGTTCTTTGAAACTTTAAAATATTTATTAGAGCTCTTAAACATTATAAAACTAAAAAATAAATTAAAAAAATAACTATTTTGATTCTTACCTACATGATAATTAAGTTACCTACCAAAAAAAATGAGTATAATGCCTTAACCGCTGAACAATACTCGAAACCAGAAGTAAACTAATCAATAAATACCAAAATAATTATTCTTTTAAAATTTGTCCACTAAAATAAAGATTTTAAAAGGTTGTAAAATAGAAAAGTTGGAAAATTTAAAATCTGAATTATAGAATTTAAAAATTCAAGAACGAAAATAGATTAAAAAAAACTTTAAAAAAAAAAACTAAAATAAAATTTAAACCTATTTAATGTTGGTATCGATTTTGATTATCAAGTTTGTTAATTAACTCAATAAACGAATATCTTATTCTTGCCTGGAATTAAAATAAAATCAAAACAATATGCAGCGCGTAGGTGGGCCCGCCAAAATAACTGATCCAGCGTGTCAAGACCACGTGGTGTCTCCTCCCCACGAGAACTGTAGAA